GATGTGGCTTTGGCGAGGCCACGTGTGTTCCATGCAGACACGTTTGCATCAGCATCGCTTGCTGCATCACCGGCAGAGACGAACACAATACCTACCTCAATATCAACGAGACCCAGAAGAACAACTGCTAATTACACCATGACCTATTTCAGTACGGAAGTACCGAGCCAACGAAATACACAACAGGAACATGAGAGGAGGGATGGGAGGAGACGGGACCTGATTGCTCCGAGGCAGGACGTCGTTGAGGAGGATTCGGCCAGTGAGTCCAGTGATTCCGGTGAGTGTGAGAGCGAGAATGATTGTGTGAGTAACAGTGGGTGCGAGCGTGTGTTTCCTAGTAGGAAGTCATCAGTGTATAAGCATCTAGCATCTCGTCCTGATTGCTGTAAGGTTTATTCTGATTCTTCTTTTTCTGTTTTGTGCCGTGCTCGTCATGGTTATAAGTTGCAGTTGAGTGTGTTAGAAGCCGTTTGTCAACGTATTCATAAGCCTAATCTGTGTGTCCAGAAGGACAGCATTATTCGTTTGAAATTGTTTTAGTAGCAACTTGTTCTGTCTGTTTGGCTCTGGTTGGCCATGGTGTCATATCTTGTGTCACAGTATACTAGTAGTCCTTACAAGTTCGTTAAGTGCTTTCGCAGTTTTTCCTATTACCTTAGTGCTAGGATTATCATTTTCATAGGTGTTGTTTCTTCTCACTCCATTTCTCTTTATTAGTATCTTTCTGGATTGTTTTTCATTAGTACAACGTAGCTTCCTGAGGAGTGTTGTGCGAAAACTAGTTCGAAGTACAATTTTTTGTTCATCATTGCGTCCATATCACATTTTTCTTTCTTCCATGTTCTTCACTGCCTTCGTATCCACTCGTTTTTTTGAATACAATAAAAGCCTTTGTGATAATGTCGGTTCAGCTCGTTCTGTTGATCGCAATTCTAAAACTATTTTCGCCTCGACGCCTATTTAAATAATAATAATAATAAGAAGAAGAAGAAGAAAGGTTTGCTCCCCACACCGGAGCTCGCGCTATTCCGCCGACTTTACTTGACACTTGACTGACTCACGACTGCCATCCAGAGCACACGAGAAGTCCATCGAACCTTTGACTTGGCAAGCCTGCAAGAAAGCACCACTCCCTGCTCAATACACAGTGTTTCGGGGAATCACCCCTCATCAGTTGAGCTTGAGTAGGCTGAGGAAGATTGTGCCTGAAGAGCACCACTTATATAGTGCTCTCCAGGCACAAACATCACCAGGGATACAAACTTACAGAGACGCTCCGCTTCCAGCGCGACAAACACCTCGTGAACACCAGACAGTAGCGTGAGTCAGTGTCGCTCCTGGACGGTAAGACAAAGTCGGCGGAATAGCGCGAGCTCCGGTGTAGAGAGCAAACCTTTCTTACAAATCATCGCCGAAGTCGCAACCACTACTTAATAATAACAATAATAATTGTTATGAACCCTCTAAGATTCTCTAAATTGTCAGGATCGTACGACCACACGGCACGAGGACAACTCTTTTCCTTTACACAGTATATTTCACTTCATCTGATAATTAACAATGAACACTAATAACACCAGCTATTTATAGCATGCAGAAACAGCGTACATGCAAAACATAAGCATATAAAACTGGACATAACAGCGTATACAGCAAAAACGCACACAACGCATATAGCGTATGCCATGCAGCAACATCAGCGGTACGGCGGAGTCGAAATACAACATTTCAACGAATACAATGCCATAAGCGCGAAGGCCTTTCCCAATTGAGAACTGGTGGTTTACAACATTCTCCCCACCAAAGGGCTTCTCACCGCCGTACAACAATGCACACAAGTCAAAAACGATCCGGGGCTCTGACTACGCGCCCAGAACGCGTCATCTCCTGCTGCCGTGGTGGTGGTAACGGTGCTGGCGGTTCATACGCTGGCTGCTGAGGGACGATAGCAGGTTGAGCGGTATCGGCAAGCCCAGGAGCCACGTCCTGTGACGATACTTCTAATGGCACTAACCTTTGGATCGGCCTCAACAGGGTACTGGTACTCAACTTAACCTTGGCAACACGACGCTTGCCATCTCGACCAGGGAATAACTCGATGATCCGTCCCAAACGCCAGAACTGTTTGCGCTTGGTATCATCGAGAACAAAGACAACATCACCCACAGCTAAAGGGCGCGACATGGTCTGTTGGTGCTTGTTCAGCTGACTTAGGTACTCCACCTCCCAACGATTCTTGACATGCTTCAGTGTCTGACTGAGGTAACGCAATCTCGCTGACATATGCGTAGCGTCCGGGGTACCTGCTGGCTTCGCTGACGACATCCAAATGTTACCCATCATCATTGCAGGGGTTACTGGTGGCTCATCCAGGCTATCAGACACATAAGTTAACGGACGACTATTCACCACTGCTTCAACCTCATACAAGATGGTCTCAAGCTCCTGAACCTTCAGAAACGCTGTTCCCATTACCTTTTCAAGGCACTCTTCACTGTACCAACCATTCGCTCATAGAAGCCTCCATGCCATGGTGCAGCTGGAGGATTGAACATCCATGGCACACTCAGTTTGTCAGATGCCGCCTTGAACGTTGTAGCGTTGTCAGACCTGATCCGAGACGGCAAACTACGTCTCGCGACAAACTTCCGAAATGCCATCAAGAATGACTCGGTACTTAAACTATCGACCACCTCCAAGTGAACTGCTCTGGTGGTGGCACACACAAACAATGCTATCCATACCTTCGGAGATGACTCACCACGGCGCACGTACAACGGACCAGCATAGTCGATGCCGGTAGTTGCGAACGGCCTCTCGTGAACAACTCGGTCTTCTGGCAGCGGCGGGCAGACTTCTGAGGCAGCCTTAGCCTTGTAGCGGCGGCATGTAACACATCGCTGAGTAATGTTGCGTAGCGCTCGTCGACCACCGATAATCCAGAATTTCTGACGGATAAACGACAAGACTCCTTCTACACCTTGGTGCATCCTTTCAACATGCATTTTCTCCAACAGCAAATCGGTCAGATGATGTTTGCCTAACAGGACTGGGTGCTTGGCTCCATACGCCAACTCGCTGTGCTGAAGTCGTCCCCCGGCTCTGAGCACTCCATGCTCATCCAGAAACGGTGCAAGCTGATACACCTTCGACCCGGGCTTCACTGGTTGACCTTGCTTGATCAGCTCAAGATCCTCAGCGAAACATGCGGCTTGAACGATGCGGTACAATACGTTGTCTGCTGCAAAATAGAGTTCAGCACGAGGCTCAGTGTGCTTCCACTGCAACATCCGAGTCACCATGCCCTGTGCCCTCGACCATTTACTGAATCGGAGCCACCATTCCTTATCAGATTCTCGACTACAGGTGGTGGCTGACACTCGTACTTCTACACTGGACTCATCTGTAGCTGTGGTTGAGGATGCGGTGGGCCAGTCATTGGGCTCCGTGATCCAGGTTGGTCCGCCCCTCCAGAACGGACTACGGATCTGCTGTGCACTACTCCCACGCGACGGTAAATCTGCTGGGTTGTGAAGGCCCGGGCAATGGTTCCACACAATGCCGACCTTCTTCGATATCTCTTGGACTTGACTGACGCGGTTAGCCACAAATGTTTTCCATTTGTACGATGGATTACTGATCCAATGAACGGTAGTGAGACTGTCAGTCCAGCCATAGACTTGCGTGACGGTAACACGCAGCTCCTTCACCACAAACTCAGCGTAGCGAGCCGCTAAACATACTGCTTGTAACTCAAGGCGGGCTAACGTGGGCGGAGACACAGGTGACACTTTGGCCTTGGCAAATACCAAGTGCGACTGTCCATTGACGACTGCATACAAACAACATCCAAACGCTTTCTCACTGGCATCGGCGAAGGCATGAAGCGCAATCGGCGTGTCAAGATTGCAGCAAATCCAACGTGGTATATCAGTGCTCACCACTTCGGCCAACTCTCCCCACCATTGCGCACATGCGGCTGCGATGCCATCAGGCAACATATCATCCCAGTCGCCTCCGACTTTCCAGGCTTGCTGTAGCAGTATCTTTCCCGGCACAACTGCCGGTGCTGCTAGACCTAGCGGATCAAACACTGATGCAACACACTTGAGGAGGGATCGCCGGGTCCAAACAGACGGCCTATCGGACTCGCCTAGCGCTGCTATGCTGAGCAAGTCATCACTGGTTTTCCATTTCAGACCGAGAACTTTATCTCCGGCCTCTGGATCGCACGGGATTTCGTTGCCTCGCCACTTGCGTAACTCCATGCCAGCATCCGTAAGCACACGCATGCTGAACTCTTGCATCTCCTTAGCTTCCGAGGCATTTGAGACACTAGAGACCAAATCGTCAACGTAGAAACTCGTGAGCAAGAGATCAATACGATCTCGCTCTTTGGGTGTAGACAACGCCCGTAGCTCCTTCAAGTGATGCTGAATCACCGCAGTAAGCATGTATGGCGAGCAGTTTACGCCAAATGGCAGTTTCGTTAGCCTCCAGGTTAACAGTTCATCGCTGTCGCTTCGACCGGGCCACAAGAAACGCAGGTACGGACGGTCTTCGGGATTAACCGCGACCATGAAGAAAGCCTTGCGGATGTCCGCTTGCAGCGCGCTCTTATATTCACGGAACCGTAATAGCATACCTGCGAGACTCGGCAATAGCGACGGTCCAGGGTCAACCATGTCGTTCAACGACTTGCCATCTGGAGCCGTCGCCGAGGCATTGAACACCACTCTTAACTTCGTGGTTGCAGCGTGCTCGCGGAATACACCATGATGCGGTACATAGTACCCGGCATCGCTCTCACATGGCTCCAGCTCAATTGCTCCAAGCTCGCGGTACTCCCTGATCAGCACATCATCATAGAGCGCACGCTTCCCATTCCTCTTCAGCTTTTCAAGAAGCCGCGTTGCGATGACTCTAGCTTGAGCAAAGTTATCCGTTGGGCGACGCTCATTTCGCCACAAGAGACCCACTTGGTACCCGCTGCCCTGGCGACATAGCGGGAAAGATGGCAGGTGCTGATGTTGTTCTGGAGGTTCATCCAACTGCCATAGTTGTTCAATGTGGGCTGTGACACATGACACGGTCAACGGCTGACTGTTTCGACTTGGTGCAGACGCTGGACCAGATAATACATTACCTATCTCTGTGTTCCACACCGTCTCACCATTAACTTCCTTCTTGCTGTGCAGTACCGCGTTGATATAGTCTGCACCAATCAGCATATGTATTTCGTCTGATGTCCCTTGTTGAGGCTTGTCACTCAGCTCTACTCCCCAACTGTGCCACTGGGCAATGGTCTGCGGACTTGCGCACTTCAGGTCCATCTCAAGCGTTGGTTTCACGAACGCGCGTACCCGAATGCTAGCGGAGCTACCCTGGATCGTGATGGCGTACTTATCCATGCGCTGTTGGGTTGGTTCCGCGCCGAACGGCTTCACCTCTACATTTTCAACCCCAACGTGTTCTGCATCGATTGCTGACACCAACGCTGCAGTCACGAATGACGCCTCAGCACCCGAGTCCAGGAACACGCGAACCTTCGCGTTTCGAGTTCTTCCCTCAACTCGTGCCACTCCGGTCATCAGCCGCACACTTGGCGAGTGTAGGCAGCACGACCCAACATTCTTCTCCGTAACTATCTCAGTCGGTTTCTCCCGGCTGTAACCTGCTCTATCCAACACCTCATGTATTAGCAGGTGGTGTTTCCTCTGGCATTTCGTGCATCTCGAGCCTGACCGACATTCTCTGGCCATATGGCCATACTTAAGGCAGTTCCAGCAGAGTCTCTCTCGCTGCAGAAAACCCTTTCTCCCTTCCAGTGGCAGCGACTTTAGCTGCTTCTCTGCATCTGCGACCGATATCGCCATGCACTGTGCCGACGCCGTGGGCCTTGGCACGGATCGTTCTACTGGCTTCCTGGCAGTATCACCCTGTCGTCCGTGCGCGACCTGGTAAGACGCGCCGTGCTCCTGTACCTGGCGCAGTGACATCCCGTAGCACTGCCGTTCGACCAGGTACGTCTTCATCTCAGGTCCGCATTGCTCCAAGATTACCTGCTTTGCCATTGCTTGCAGCACCGGGGACATTTTTCCTATATCGGCGCTATACTTGGTGTCCACCTCGCCATCTTCTGTCATAGCGAGTGTGGCCCACACTTCTACTTCTCGGCAAACACGGACAACGTATTGGTGAAACGACTCATCTGACCGCTGCTTGCCTGTCAGCAATGTCTTCCACGCTTTATCCGGAGTCTTTCCGAGCGAGGCGAGCAACTCTCGCTTCGCTTCCTCGTAATTATTGCATCCAATACATATCCTCTCCGCTTTGCTACCCGCTAGCGCGATGCGCAGTCGCAGCAGCCATTCGCTTTCTTCGAACTCGTTCTTGGAGCAGATGTCCTCGAACAGGTCAAGATAACGCTCCAATGGCTGCGTTCCATCATATGAGGGGATTTTCATCAACGGTTGACGCCCCCCGCTGTTACTGGGAGCTTCCTCTGTACCTCCCATCGCGGCTTTACCATCACCCTCATACGCATTGGCGATGCGCTCGTTAATCTCCTTTAGTGTTTTGTCAAACTCGGTGCGGAGCGCCTCCTCTCGCCGTCTGGCACTGCGCTCCTCACGCTCCTCGTACTGTTGGAGCCTCTGCTCCACATGTTCCATCAACAACTCGCCTTCTAATCCTAACCGAACTCCATTGGCGATAAAGCTGGCTTCCAAATTGTGTAGTTGCTCTGCCATGCTCGCTCCTATCCTGGCGTGGTCGCCAAATGTTATGAACCCTCTAAGATTCTCTAAATTGTCAGGATCGTACGACCACACGGCACGAGGACAACTCTTTTCCTTTACACAGTATATTTCACTTCATCTGATAATTAACAATGAACACTAATAACACCAGCTATTTATAGCATGCAGAAACAGCGTACATGCAAAACATAAGCATATAAAACTGGACATAACAGCGTATACAGCAAAAACGCACACAACGCATATAGCGTATGCCATGCAGCAACATCAGCGGTACGGCGGAGTCGAAATACAACATTTCAACGAATACAATGCCATAAGCGCGAAGGCCTTTCCCAATTGAGAACTGGTGGTTTACAACAACTGTGGTTTACAATTTTCTTTGACGGTTGGTTAACCTTTCCAAGTCATTGAAGCAGTAATTAATCAACTGAAATCGATCGCATAATACTATGCAGTGATCATAGCGAAGGGCAAGTGCCAACATTGGGAGTTGACTTTCAAATCAGTCGGCATACTGTGTTCTATTGCAGTGAGTTGTTTTCGGCCACTACTCAATTTTCTCTTCGTTCCTATTTCTCTGCTTCTTTATTTCTATATGCCTGCCCGTGTCGTATTCTGTTCAACATTTTCTATCCATGCATTTCGAAACAAAAAAATTCCGCACTCATTATTCCGACACAGAATGCAAAGAAGGACTATAGGTTTCCTAGAACGTTTCTTGTTACGATTATCGGTTCCACACTTGGAACTGATGATCGTCACAGAAAAATAAACTACTTGTCACCGAGTTTGTAATTTTCGCTTCGTAGAGAAGGAGAAGCCGTAACTGATTTTTTCGCTTGGCCACTGCTGTGCCTGTACTGTCGGTCGCCTTGGAAACCTATATTATACCCACCGTGCCTTTTGTGTCGAGATAATGTAGATCATTTGTATCCATGTAATATTCTCAAGGTTTGTATTATTTTTTCCTGTTTTGAAGATCAAACTCGCAATGCCTGTCATGGATCAGATTCACTAGCATCGGCTGAAAGAGTAAGTTTGTGTTCCCTTAGTGTTCCCCATCACTCTTATCGGCTGAAAGAGTAAGTTGGTCTTCCCTTAGTGTTCCCCCACCACTCTTACTGAGATAGAGTGATGATGATTTCTGCACAGGACGTAGAAAACACGCCATTCAGTATGTGCACATCACTATGATGCCTACACCAATGTACAGTGAAACCTTTCTAAGACGACCGATCAAGGGACCTTGAAAACGTGGTCTCTGTATCCAGGGTTATTCGACTGGAAATAGCATCCCTGGGTCCTGGTTGTAATGGTCTTCCAGGACAGGTGGTCACTATGGCTGAAACGATCATTCAATAACTCCTAACGATCAACCAATATCATTAACGATCGATATATTGGTTTTATCGATTCTTGTCAGCTCTATCGAACACCAGTTTATGAAGAAATTCTATGATACCTTTGCTACGTTAGAAATTTGTGTCACCACACTGTTGACATCTGTAGATATCTGGCTCGTTTTATCAACATGAACTACTCAAGTAGAGAGCTTCATGTTGTTTCTAGAGCGAAGAATCTTGTCGTCACCCTCTGGCAACTGCTCTCATCTCTGACTTGTCCCACGAATGAACTGAAAAGGCAACGTCTTCTCTCCCGATCTCTTTCAAAGACACAAATCAATTTTACTGCACTTGAAAGTACATTATTGTACTCGTATCCACTATCGGATGGAGTGCAAGGGCTAGAATACTGTCACTAATATGCATGCATAAAAATTGTTAGCACTCGTTTTCAACACTAACGATTATCGATTGCACTCGTTTTCAACACTAACGATTATCGATTGCACTCTTAAAGGGGAAGTCCGGTGAAAAATTTAAATTTCAGGGTTGGTAGAGTTTCGGCCGCTGAGTCGAATGGTGTTGGTCCCACGTGTCTCCGACAAAGCGTTCTCGAGATATTTCCATTTGAAAAACTGAGTTTCGGGGGCCGCGCCATGACGTCATGCGGCCGCGCCACACCCTCCGCAACGTCATAGCGTGCAGCTAGGTCAAAAGGGGTGCGTGAAAGCAATAGTGTCAGTGCTATTTCAAATGATTTGGCGACCCATACTGCCATAGTAGGTGGTGCAAGCAACTCCGAAGACGTAACTCCTTGTGAGAGTGAGGATGCAGCCATGGCTGACCTTCATGAGTTCGGTCTGGGGCTGAGAACCTCGGTATTCAGCTGAAGAAATGGCCGCGCGGGCCGGTCAAGAGTGAGCGCTACTGAGTTTCCGACTGATGAAGAAGCAGCAGCTATTGCAGACGAGGCTGATATAATTATCAGATCGCTGGAGAGCAGAGTCGCCAAAATGGAGAAGAGTGATGCGAGTGCTCTAAATGGTAATCCATACCGATTCGCTTAGACTCCAGTAGCCTGCCACATGGTGATGTTTTGGTGCGAACTTGGGCATATTTCGGACTACTTAATTGGAGAACAGTGCAGGCTCTTTGAACCACGGGCACGACTCTTCGCTTGCAACGCTACGGGATCTGAAAGTTCTAGGTCCGGGAACTGTTCGCTGTTTTGTCACTTGTCACAGTTGTTGCACTCATCGCTGTAGCATAAAATAATGAGGCAGGAACGGAAAACTAAAATTTTCTTTCTCAAAGCACAACCACCGGCACCGGCAAGGAGAAACGCTCGTTCTCTGACTTCTGTACAATACGACTGATACGAGTGTAGTACATGACAAGTCCGTGTGTTGACTAGTTTTCTGAGTCTTGTGACTCGAGTCTTGTTGTACTACCGGTACTACCCCAGCACGGCAGTGCGGAAGTACTAGTTCCGTGTGTGATGAGTTTGTTGACTACACTACATGTATACAGCTAGCATGCACGCAGTGCATTGCTAGAGCCGTAGGCCAGTGCATGCCTACGGAAAAAGTTCAAATCGGAAACGGCTAAAATACGGTACAACCTCGAGGTTTACCGAGCTGAGAATCACAGGGTACGTAGTGGTTGTAACACTGAATCGAATGGTCTTGGTCCGAAGAAGCTGCGACAAACGGTTCCCCAATCGAACGCGCTCCGAATATGGCCGTTTTGTACACATCTAGATGGTGTGGCTACCTGACTGCACACTGTGACGTCATCACCTGGATTTGGGTGAGGCGCGCTCAAATTCGCACATGTTCGATTGGGCGTATCTGACGAACCATAGGCCGCAGCCTCCTCGGACAAAGACCATTCGACTCAGCGCCCCGAACTCTACGGACTGTGAAATTTAAATTTTTCACCGGACTTCCCCTTTAACGATCGATATGCGAGTTATCGGTATAATTGTTTCAGCCCTAGTGGTCGCCTTATCCGAGTGGTCGCCTTATCCGAGTGGTCACCTTATCAGAGTGGTCACCTTTCCAGAGTGGTCACCTTATCAGAGTGGTCACCTTATCCGAGTGGTCACCTTACCCGAGTGGTCGCCTTATCCGAGTGGTCGCCTTATCCGAGTGGTCGCCTTATCCGAGTGGTCGCCTTATCCGAGTGGTCACCTTATCCGAGTGGTCACCTTATCCGAGTGGTCAGCTTATCCGAGTGGTCAGCTTATCCGAGGGTTCACCTTATCCGAGTGGTCACCTTATCCGAGTGGTCACCTTATCCGAGTGGTCACCTTATCCGAGTGGTCACCTTATCCGAGTGGTCAGCTTATCCGAGTGGTCAGCTTATCCGAGTGGTCAGCTTATCCGAGTGGTCACCTTATCCGAGTGGTCGCCTTATCCGAGTGGTCGCCTTATCCGAGTGGTCGCCTTATCCGAGTGGTCGCCTTATCCGAGTGGTCACCTTATCCGAGTGGTCAGCTTATCCGAGTGGTCAGCTTATCCGAGTGGTCACCTTATCCGAGTGGTCACCTTATCCGAGTGGTCACCTTATCCGAGTGGTCACCTTATCCGAGTGGTCACCTTATCCGAGTGGTCAGCTTATCCGAGTGGTCAGCTTATCCGAGTGGTCAGCTTATCCGAGTGGTCAGCTTATCCGAGTGGTCACCTTATCCGAGTGGTCACCTTATCCGAGTGGTCAGCTTATCCGAGTGGTCACCTTATCCGAGTGGTCACCTTATCCGAGTGGTCACCTTATCCGAGTGGTCACCTTATCCGAGTGGTCAGCTTATCCGAGTGGTCAGCTTATCCGAGTGGTCAGCTTATCCGAGTGGTCACCTTATCCGAGTGGTCACCTTATCCGAGTGGTCACCTTATCCGAGTGGTCACCTTATCCGAGTGGTCACCTTATCCGAGTGGTCACCTTATCCGAGTGGTCACCTTATCCGAGTGGTCACCTTATCCGAGTGGTCACCTTATCCGAGTGGTCACCTTATCCGAGTGGTCACCTTATCCGAGTGGTCACCTTATCCGAGTGGTCACCTTATCCGAGTGGTCACCTTGACAATTGGAAATTGTTTGTGCATGAGTGTGTTTACGGTACTGCTGTATGTACATGAGTGTGCATACATCAGGTGTGTATGTACATGAGTGTGCATACATCATGTGTGTATGTACATGAGTGTGCATACATCAGATGTGTATGTACATGAGTGTGCATACATCAGGTGTGTATGTACATGAGTGTGCATACATCAGGTGTGTATGTACATGAGTGTGCATACATCATGTGTGTATGTACATGGGTGTGCATACATCATGTGTGTATGTACATGAGTGTGCATACATCATGTGTGTATGTACATGAGTGTGCATACATCATGTGTGTATGTACATGGGTGTGCATACATCATGTGTGTATGTACATGAGTGTGCATACATCAGGTGTGTATGTACATGAGTGTGCATACATCATGTGTGTATGTACATGAGTGTGCATACATCATGTGTGTATGTACATGGGTGTGCATACATCATGTGTGTATGTACATGAGTGTGCATACATCAGGTGTGTATGTACATGAGTGTGCATACATCATGTGTGTATGTACATGGGTGTGCATACATCATGTGTGTATGTACATGGGTGTGCATACATCATGTGTGTATGTACATGAGTGTGCATACATCAGGTGTGTATGTACATGAGTGTGCATACATCATGTGTGTATGTACATGAGTGTGCATACATCATGTGTGTATGTACATGAGTGTGCATACATCAGGTGTGTATGTACATGAGTGTGCATACATCATGTGTGTATGTACATGGGTGTGCATACATCATGTGTGTATGTACATGAGTGTGCATACATCAGGTGTGTATGTACATGAGTGTGCATACACAATAGCGAGAGTTCCCAGATTACCTAGAGTGCTGAACATTACAAGGATGGAGCATTACCACAAACACAGTGCAGAACCTCTCTATTTACTGTGTACCTAGGAATGCTAGAGATACACCAGTGGGGCATAGGAACATGATGTGGTGATGGTGATAGTGTTTGTCATTACCCATTTTGTTTTTCACCTCGACTGCAGGAGACAGAGTTTTTCTTTGGAGCAGGCAGCAGCAGCAGCCGTGGTCTTCAAGTCCCGGCAGAGTTTGACAACTGCACATTGTGTTTGGTCAAGCCATACACAATGACCCAAGGTTAGAAAGACTGCAAATATCTAATTCTGAAGTACTTCAGGCAAACTTGCTTTATCTATCACCCTAGCACTGTGGAACACACCTATTACATACTCTACTACTACATACACTTGCCTAGTACATACTCTACTACTACATACACTTGCCTAGTACATACTCTACTACTACATACACTTGCCTAGTACATACTCTAATAATACATACCCTTGCTTAGTATATACACTTGTTTAGTACATACTCTGCTAGGACATACACTAGCTTGGTACAAACTCTGATAAGACAAACATATGGTCAGTACATACTCTGATAATGCATACCCTTGCTTAGTACAAACTCTGATAAGACAAAACCATGGTTAATACATACTCTGATAATACGTACACTTGCTTATAATGGTTTGGTTGTGGTCTGACATTATTGTTGAGTGCAGGTCTGCTTGGGAGAGTAGCTCGTGATATTGTGCAGGCTGGTTTTGACATCTCTGCCATGCAAATGGTAATCATCTGTAATTGTTTTCTCCTATCAGTCTGTTTGTCTGGCTGTCTTGTAGTCTCTGCCTCTCTTGCTGTCTTGGGCTTTCGATATCTGTCTACCTTTCCCTCTCTCTTACACACACACACACACACACACACACACACACACACACACACACACACACACACACACACACACACACACACACACACTCTCTCACTCTCTCTCTCACTTTCTCACTCTCTCTCTCTCTCTCTCTATCTCTCTCTCTCTCTCTCCTCTCTCTCTCTCTCTCTCTCTCTCTCTCTCTCTCTTCTCTCTCTCTCACCATCTGTCCCTGCATGTTTCTCTTCGTCCTTTTCTGTTTCTTTGTCTCTGTCTCTGTCTGTCTTGTCGTCTTGCTTACTAGGAATGCTCATGGAGATGGTCTTCTTTGTGTGTGCTTTGGGGCTTCTCATCCTTGTTATTGCTAGTTACGCGTATCTTACTCGGTGTGTGTGTATGTGTGTATGTGTGTATGTGTGTATGTGTGTATGTGTGTGTATGTGTGTTTGTGTGTGTGTTTGTATGTGTGTGTGTGTATATGTGTGCCTGTGTGTGTGTGTTTGTGTGAGTGTGTGTGTGTGTGTGAGTGTGTGTGTGTACGCGCATGTGTGTGTGTGTGTGCGTGCGTGTGTGTGTGCATGTGTGTGCTTGTGTGTTCATGTGTGTGTGTACGCGCATGTGTGTGTGTGTGCGTGCGTGTGTGTGTGCATGTGTGTGCTTGTGTGTTCATGTGTGTGTGTATCTAACTTTCTGTGTGTCTAGTACCATTTGGACAAGAGCACAGCAGAGGAGTTCTTGGAAGTCTACAGAGGTGTCGTTGCCGAATATCCGGTGAGTTAGAGCCTAGAGGGTAAAAGAAATGACAAAGACAATTGTGCCTGAGTACTTTCTCATGACGGGGGTTGATTGTGTTTGCTTTGATGAGATTGTGACGCACCGTTCATCACCAAATCCAATCCATTACATGTGGAATTTAGTTTTGATATTGGTTGAGGCAAAGGCAGCCTTTAGACGTTTTACCAATGATGTCATGCTGGTAGGCCAGCAGAACAGCTTATGGGCTCTATGTATAGAGCATCAGTATGTAAGGAGACTACAGGGCCATGTCTTCCTGCAGTGACTCCTGCATAATGTTGACTGCTCAATGGGTCGTCGAAATTTAGGCACTGTCTACACGTGGTCTCCTTACCCAGGGTGTTCCTTGATCATAGTTGCCATGGTCCCCCTGTGACAGGTGGTCTCCTTATCAGGGTGTCCCTTGATCATAGTTGTGGTGGTCCTCTGTGACAGGTGGTCTCTTTATCCAGGGTATCCCTTGATCCTAGGTATGGTGGTCCTCTGTGACAGGTGGTCTCATTATCCAGGGTATCCCTTGGTCCTAGGTATGGTGGTCCTCTGTGACAGGTGGTCTCCTTATCCAGGGTATCCCTTGGTCGTAGGTATGGTGGTCCTCTGTGACAGGTGGTCTCCTTATCCCAGGGTATCCGTTGGTCCTAGGTATGGTGGTCCTCTGTGACAGGTGGTCTCCTTATCCAGGGTGTCCCTTGATCCTAGTTTTTTCGTGGTCCCCTGTGACAGGTGGTCTCATTATCAGAGTGGCCGCCTGGACATGTCCCTCCTCTACATATCGGGAGAGAAATGTTGATCTACATTATGTGTTTGTGTGTGTCTGCGGGCGCGCGCGCGCGCGTGTGTATGCATGTGTGTTTTGTGTGTGTCTGTGTGCGTGTGTATGCATGTGTGTTTTGTGTGTGTCTGTGCGTGTGTGTATGCATGTGTGTGTGTGTGTGTGTGTGTGTGTCTGTGTGTCGGTGTGTGTTTGTCTGCATTCCTATTGTGCCACTCGGCAGGAGATGGTATCTGAGTTGTGCTCAGGAGCATGCGTTGCCATGGCATTAATTCATCAACATGGCGGTGCTTGTGTAGAGCAGTTCAGACAGTTTGTTGGACCAGCAGATCCAGTAAGATCAACATTCGCCACTAACCATGTACTACTCCCTAGCTGGTGGTATGCTGTTGTTGTTTGGGCTAGGGTTCGACTCATCAATTTGCTATCATTTGCTCTACTACATCCAGGGGATCGTGCCATAGTTCAAATAGTCCTTGATCAGTCCAGCCATGCAGTAGCCTGTCATACTTTTGAGTTTGAAAGGCTATTTCTCCAACTCTACCAGCATCAGTGTTGCTGCTGTAGCTGCTATTACTCCCACTGCACATGCTTCAGTGATGCTGCTGTAGCTGCTATGGCTTCTGCGACTGCCCCATTGTGGTAGCTGCTACTACTTTTTAGAAGTCTTACTGTACATATCCCAGAAACGGCGAAAGTTGCTTTCTCTTCTTATTCTTGATTGTGTGTTTGTGCTCACAATAATATTATAAACATAACATATGTGTGTGTCTGTGTGGTTGTGTGTGTGTGTGTGTGTGTGCGTGCGTGCGTGCATGCGTACGTGTGGTATGTGATTGCACAATCGTGTACACGTGTGCACAATCGTGTGCACGTGTGTACGTACGTGGATGTGTACGTTTATCATCTGTTCTGTTGTTCAACAGGAGATAGCTCGTCACTTGCGTCCCAGCACGTTGCGTGCAAAATATGGACACAACAAATTGAAGAATGCTGTTCACTGCACTGACCTAGCTGATGACGGCATGCTGGAGGTGAGTGGTGCTGTATCTCATGCTGGTATGGTGTCATGCTGGTACGGTGTCATGCTGGTATGGTGTCATGCTTGTACGGTGTCATGCTGGTGTGGTGTCATGCTGGTATGGTGTCATGCTGGTCTCGTGTCATGCTGGTATGGTGTCATGCTGGTATGGTGTCATGCTGGTACGGTGTCATGCTGGTCTCGTGTCATGCTGGTATGGTGTCATGCTGGTATGGTGTTATGCTGGTATGGTGTCATGCTGGTATGGTGTCATGCTGGTATGGTGTCATGCTGGTCTCGTGTCATGCTGGTATGGTGTCATGCTGGTATGGTGTCATGCTGGTATGGTGTCATGCTGGTATGGTGTCATGCTGGTCTCGTGTCATGCTGGTCTCGTGTCATGCTGGTCTCGTGTCATGCTGGTATGGTGTCATGCTGGTATGGTGTCATGCTGGTCTCGTGTCATGCTGGTATGGTGTCATGCTGGTATGGTGTTATGCTGGTATGGTGTTATGCTGGTATGGTGTCATGCTGGTATGGTGTTATGCTGGTATGGTGTCATGCTGGTATGGTGTCATGCTGGTCTCGTGTCATGCTGGTATGGTGTCATGCTGGTATGGTGTCATGCTGGTATGGTGTCATGCTGGTATGGTGTCATGCTGGTCTCGTGTCATGCTGGTATGGTGTCATGCTGGTATGGTGTCATGCTGGTATGGTGTCATGCTGGTATGGTCAGGTCTAGGCTTCCCCAAATCGGCCGGCCACAAAATTCTCCGTGAACGAGACTTACCGGAAAATTGATAAGGTTTTCGCCGATTTTGGAGGGTTCCTTTGAGAAACGCCGAAAATCTACAATATTTTGTTGCAAAGTGAGTTTACGAATGAATGATGTTTTCTGCAAGCATGACCGCTTACGAATGAATGATGTTGCTGCAAGCATGACCGCTTACGAATGAATAATGTTGCTGCAAGCATGACCGCTTACGAATGAATGATGTTGCTGCAAGCATGACCGCTTACGAATGAATAATGTTGCTGCAAGCATGACCGCTTACGAATGAATGATGTTGCTGCAAGCATGACCGTTTACGAATGAATGATGTTGCTACAAGCATGACCGCTTACGAATGAATGATGTTGCTGCAAGCATGACCGCTAACGAATGAATGATGTTGCTGCAAGCATGACCGCTTACGAATGAATGATGTTGCTGCAAGCATGACCGCTTACGAATGAATGATGTTGCTGCAAGCATGACCGCTTACGAATGAATGATGTTGCTGCAAGCATGACCGCTTACGAATGAATGATGTTGCTGCAAACATGACCGCTTACGAATGAATGATGTTGCTGCAAACATGACCACTTACGAATGAATGATGTTGCTGCAAACATGACCGCTTACGAATGAATGATGTTGCTGCAAGCATGACCGCTTACGAATGAATGATGTTGCTGCAAGCATGACCGCTTACGAATGAATGATGTTGCTGCAAACATGACCGCTTACGAATGAATGATGTTGCTGCAAACATGACCACTTACGAATGAATGATGTTGCTGCAAACATGACCGTTTACGAATGAATGATGTTGCTACAAGCATGACCGCTTACGAATGAATGATGTTGCTGCAAGCATGACCGCTAACGAATGAATGATGTTGCTGCAAGCATGACCGCTTACGAATGAATGATGTTGCTGCAAGCATGACCGCTTACGAATGAATGATGTTGCTGCAAGCATGACCGCTTACGAATGAATGATGTTGCTGCAAGCATGACCGCTTACGAATGAATGATGTTGCTGCAAGAATGACCGCTTACGAATGAAGGATGTTGCTGCAAGCATGACCGCTTACGAATGAATGATGTTGCTGCAATCATGACCGCTTTACGAATGAATGATGTTGCTGCAAACATGACCGCTTACGAATGAATGATGTTGCTGCAAACATGACCGCTTACGAATGAATGATGTTGCTGCAAACGTGACCGCTTACGAATGAATGATGTTGCTGCAAACATGACCGCTTACGAATGAATGATGTTGCTGCAAACATGACCACTTACGAATGAATGATGTTGCTGCAAACATGACCGCTTACGAATGAATGATGTTGCTGCAAACATGACCGTTACGAATGAATGATGTTGCTGCAAAACATGACCGCTTACGAATGAATGATGTTGCTGCAAAACATGACCGCTTACGAATGAATGATGTTGCTGCAAGCATGACCGCTTACGAATGAATGATGTTGCTGCAAACGTGACCGCTTACGAATGAATGATGTTGCTGCAAACATGACCGTTTACGAATGAATGATGTTGCTGCAAACATGACCGCATACAAATGAATGATGTTGCTGCAAACATGACCGCTTACGAATGAATGATGTTGCTGCAAGCATGACCGCTTACGAATGAATGATGTTGCTGCAACATGACCGTTTACGAATGAATGATGTTGCTGCAAACATGACCGCTTACGAATGAATGATGTTGCTGCAAACATGACCGCTTACGAATGAATGATGTTGCTGCAAACATGACCGCTTACGAATGAATGATGTTGCTGCAAGCATGACCGCTTACGAATGAATGATGTTGCTGCAAACATGACCGCTTACGAATGAATGATGTTGCTGCAAACATGACCGCTTACGAATGAATGATGTTGCTGCAAACATGACCACTTACGAATGAATGATGTTGCTGCAAACATGACCGCTTACGAATGAATGATGTTGCTGCAAACATGACCGTTTACGAATGAATGATGTTGCTGCAAACATGACCGCTTACGAATGAATGATGTTGCTGCAAACATGACCGCTTACGAATGAATGATGTTGCTGCAAACATGACCGCTTACGAATGAATGATGTTGCTGCAAGCATGACCGCTTACGAATGAATGATGTTGCTGCAAACATGACCGTTTACGAATGAATGATGTTGCTGCAAACATGACCGCTTACGAATGAATGATGTTGCTGCAAACATGACCGCTTACGAATGAATGATGTTGCTGCAAACATGACCGCTTACGAATGAATGATGTTGCTGCAAACATGACCGCTTACGAATGAATGATGTTGTTGCAAAGTGAGTTTACGAATGAAAGATGTTGCTGCAAACATGACCGCTTACGAATGAATGATGTTGCTGCAAACATGAACCGCTTACGAATGAATGATGTTGCTGCAAGCATGACCGCTACGAATGAATGATGTTGCTGCAAACATGACCGTTTACGAATGAATGATGTTGCTGCAAACATGACCGCTTACGAATGAATGATGTTGCTGCAAACATGACCGCTTACGAATGAATGATGTTGCTGCAAACATGACCGCTTACGAATGAATGATGTTGCTGCAAACATGACCGCTTACGAATGAATGATGTTGTTGCAAAGTGAGTTTACGAATGAAAGATGTTGCTGCAAGCATGACCGTTTACGAATGAATGATGTTGCTGCAAACATGACCGCTTACGAATGAATGATGTTGCTGCAAACATGACCGCTTACGAATGAATGATGTTGCTGCAAACATGACCGCTTACGAATGAATGATGTTGCTGCAACCATGACCGCTTACGAATGAATGATGTTGTTGCAAAGTGAGTTTACGAATGAAAGATGTTGCTGCAAACATGACCGCTTACGAATGAATGATGTTGCTGCAAACATGACCGCTTACGAATGAATGATGTTGCTGCAAGCATGACCGCTTACGAATGAATGATGTTGCTGCAAACATGACCGTTTACGAATGAATGATGTTGCTGCAAACATGACCGCTTACGAATGAATGATGTTGCTGCAAACATGACCGCTTACGAATGAATGATGTTGCTGCAAACATGACCGCTTACGAATGAATGATGTTGCTGCAAACATGACCGCTTACGAATGAATGATGTTTGTTGCAAAGTGAGTTTATGAATGAAAGATGTTGCTGCAAGCATGACCGCTTACGAATGAATGATGTTGCTGCAAACATGACCGCTTACGAATGAATGATGTTGCTGCAAACATGACCGCTTACGAATGAATGATGTTGCTGCAACCATGACCGCTTACGAATGAATGATGTTGTTGCAAAGTGAGTTTACGAATGAAAGATGTTGCTGCAAACATGACCGCTTACGAATGAATGATGTTGCTGCAAACATGACCGCTTACGAATGAATGATGTTGCTGCAAGCATGACCGCTTACGAATGAATGATGTGCTGCAAACATGACCGTTTACGAATGAATGATGTTGCTGCAAACATGACCGCTTACGAATGAATGATGTTGCTGCAAACATGACCGCTTACGAATGAATGATGTTGCTGCAAACATGACCGCTTACGAATGAATGATGTTGCTGCAAACATGACCGCTTACGAATGAATGATGTTGTTGCAAAGTGAGTTTATGAATGAAAGATGTTGCTGCAAGCATGACCGCTCGAGCTCTCCATTGCAGTACTTGTGGTACTAGTGTGTTGAGGTCATGTGACTCGTGTCTTTTGAACTCCTCCCAAACAAACATTAGCCTTTAGGAAGATCATTACTAGTAAAAAACTAGAATTTCTTTTCCCCAGTGTCTCACCACTCTTGAAGCCAGTATGCCCACAATTCTTTTGGCCGATTTTCAAAATATTCCAATTTTGCAGCCGATTTTCGAACAATCAGCTGATTTTTCAGCCGAATCTGATGTATTTTTGAACCGAGCGAACAGCCAAATAGGCGAACAAAAACCGGGCCGATTTGGGGAAAGCCTAGTCTGGTCTTATGCTGATCTGATCTCATTCCGGTCTGGTCTCATTCCGGTCTGGTCTTATTCCGGTCTGGTCTCATTCCGGTCTGTTCTCATTCCGGTCTGGTCTCATTCCGGTCTGGTCTCCTTCCGGTCTGGTCTCATCCGGTCTGGTCTCATTCCGGTCTGATCTCATTCCGGTCTGGTCTCATTCCGGTCTGGTCTCATTCCGGTCTGGTCTCATTCCGGTCTGGTCTCATTCCGGTCTGGTCTCATTCCGGTCTGATCTCGTTCCGTTCTGGTCTCATTCCGGTCTGGTCTCATTCCGGTCTGGTCTTATTCCGGTCTGATCTCATTCCGGTCTGGTCTTATTCCGGTCTGGTCTTATTCTGGTCTGGTCTTATTCCGGTCTGGTCTTATTCTGGTCTGGTCTTTTCTGGTCTGGTCTTAGGTTGAGTTTGTTCGGTGTCATTCCGACACCATTCCAAAGTCATTCCACCGTGTTTTGGTTGCGGTGCGTTTGTTTGATGCAACGGACAGCGTTTGTTCCATGCAATTCCGATTCCGGTGGCGTAATGAAGGGGGCAGAATCGATTCTGGCGATTCCAAAGAAAAAGTGGAATGAGTGCTCATTCCGAGCGGAATGAAAATGCGCGGCGGCCACTGGGGGCTGTCACTGTTGTATACCTCCACCAACAAAACCTCAAACGCGATTGTCGACATACGGAATGTTGCCGAAAATCGTCCAGGGTGTAGGCTGATACTGTAACTTCGGGATAGTTACCGCTACTGGTTTGTGGCATATTTTACCCTTCGCTGCCTGAGACAGCGTTCGGTCAGGACAAGAACTGGATTGATGCCCTCGCACCTCTCCTCCTCATCGTCGAGCAGGGCCTCCAGAATCACTCGGTCAGGGAGGCAGGCCCGCCAATGCATAGCACATAATCACCCACACAGGCACTGAACCTGCCACTCGACTTCTTCTTACAACCGCACCTCCGTCAAACAAGCGCTTCCAATCCGTGAAGAGCTAGAGCCGTTTCTGTGACTGATACGAGGTCGAATACAGAATAGTCATGATGAAGTAGCGGCCAAACGTTGCGTACAGGCGTTTACCCCAGTGGAGCTCGTAGACCTATGCCGAGTTTGGCCGCTCCTTCACCATTATCGTCGGAGGGGTATGCAGAACTAGAAACGTACGGAAGCAAGATAGCAACCACAACATTCTTAGGCTACCAGCTTATCTTTGCAAGGCTGCAAAAAACAACTAGTAGATCTCAAAAACAAAACATTCGACCGCCGTTTCCGGAGTCTCGCAAAACATCTGCCAGATTCCCGAGTGCATGCACGCGCGTTTGTTTGCTACTCTCATTCCGACTCCGCAATGGGTATCGACTGCATTCCATGCTCGTTCCGGAATGACCGAACAAATACAACATTTTTCTGATCTGGTCTCATTCTGGTTTTGGTCTCATTCCGGTTTTGGTCTTATTCTGGTGTTGGTCCTATTCTGGTCTGGTCTCATTCTCACGCTAATCTTGTAGTTCATAGGGAATGTCAATGAGGAACGTTTAGGAACAGGACATATGTCCTGTTCCCATAACTCCTTTCGATATCTTGCCTGCCTATCTAGAGAAACCCTTTGTCTGCGGTGTGGGTCTACCCCTGAGAATGCTGCAATGTTCAGATGTGCCTGTATATGCAGAAGTCGCATCTGCATTTCTCACACAATCTCTCTTATGGTATTCTGTCTGAACTCTCGTTCCCGTCGAGAATGGAATTGTTCCTGTTCCACACTCGGTAGAGCATGCTTGTCTTAATCTCATGGTCGTGGATCTGAGCACCATTTTGTCGTTGCTCTTGTACAACTGCTTCTTTCGCTGCTCTCCGACTCACACTCCAAGCAGCAGTTGTGACTGTTAACAGAGTTCAGAAAGAGAGCTAAGATAACGAAAGAATGAAATGTACAAAGTGCCCTGGAGTGCATTGCTAGACATTGTTTGTGTGTGTGCTCTTGTGTGTGTGTGTGTGTGTGTGTGTGTGTGCATGTGTTTGTGTGCACGCACGCGCGTATGTGTGTGCGTGTGTGTATGTGTGTGTATGTGTGTGTGTATGGGTGTGTTCGTGCATGTGTGTATGTGTGTGCGTCCTGTGATCGTGGATTCCATATTTTCCTCTACTAAATTCATTCCCCTAGGTTGAGTACTTCTTCAAGATTCTCCAGTAACTACGGAAACAGACTAGACTTCAGTGACGGTCACAGCGCATCCTCAGTAATCGGCGTCACAATGTATTTTCATTGATGTGTCTTCTGTAACCGCTGGAATGGATATTCAGCCGCTGGTGCAGCAATGTGTTGAGAGATGCAAAGGCGAGGTTTGATGAGCTGATTTCGATGTGATATTAATCCTGAAACATAATGCAATGCTATAGTAAATGACTGTCGGCGAATTCATTCCTTTTCGCTTTCATTATAAGAAGAGAATTTATCTTTCTGTTTGAACCACACATATACTATGCATGCGTGGTGTCTGCGGGCTCTGTGATGTCATGATGTTACGGTGTCATGATATCATGATGTCATGATGTCATGATGTTATGATGTTATGATTTCATGATGTCATGATAGATCATCTTTGTCTTATGTCAGTACAAAAATGGCAATCATGTGTGGGCTCTGTGCATTCGTTGTGAGTTATCTGATCCAGCTGCAGGGTGTGCATTTGTGTTTATTGCAGTGTTACCAGCTGCAGGGTTTGTGTTTATTCCCGTAGCTATGCAGAAGACGTTACTTCAGTAACGTCTGGCGCTAGCCAGGGTCCACACAGCTTTAATTTGGTGTTTGTTTGTTTGTGTCACGTCTGGCGCTATACCGTATCTGTCCCGTACCGTGCCGTATCATCAAACACAGCTGGCCACATACAGCTGGCCGCAATATTCAAATAGGGCTTTCAAACGCGAGATCATAACGTGAAGAAACTTGGAAGAATGAGTATGAATGCAAAGTGTTTGGGAGAATTCATGTAGGGCGATAGTGCGGTTTCGAATTCCGGGTTATGCCTGAAAAAAATAGGAGAATTGAAAATTTTATAACATCCCTATGCTTTTTTTGCCTAGGTCATCAAGGCGGTTGACGGTGTCGTATTACCCTCGACCGTACCTGTCCAGTACCTGTCCCGTACCTGTCCCGTACCATGCCATCAAAGACGGCTGGCCACAATGCATATTCAAATAGGGCTTTCCAATGCAAGATCATAACGTGAAGCAACTTGGAAGAATTAGTATGTATGCGAAGCGTATCGGGGGATGCATGCAGGGCGATAGTGCGGGTTCGAATTCCAGGTTATGTCTTTAAAAAAAAAGGAGAAATTTATAAGAATTTAAAGAATTTATAACATCCCTATGCTTTTTTTGTCTAGGTCATCAAGCAAAAGAGCATAGCGTAGGGCCCTGAGCTTGCAAGCTCTCTCGTTGCCGTAGTGTTACATACTGCATGTATTACATGTGAATTAGTTTACCGTTTCGCACGGGACACTCGCAATGGCATAGTACTTCCCAGAGCTTTGTCAACTATGTTTACCAAATCTCCTATCTTCTCTGCATAATAGTATTGGCTCAAGCTGCCCATGGAAATGAAAACGATATCCAATATTAGACAGTTCATAGACCATGTTAAATGTCATGCCACGTTGTAGGCTCGCTCGCCTGTTTTGCTAGCTTATCTCGCCGCTCTCCACCATGGGCAACATAGTGATACATTTCACCCCGCTGATGCATTATTTTCTTCCGATTATCATCTTCTTTCCTTCACTCTTTCTTTTTTTTCTCTCTTGCCATGGCTGGCTAACGCCCCCTCCTTTGCATTGGCTTCTGCCACTGGACGGTGAAATAATAATAATAATAATGTAGAAGAGAAAAGGACATATGGATACGAGATAAGAGTATCTCTCCATCACTGTAACATGATACTATAATACAGTCAGAAAGTGCAATAACTAGGCACAAAACTGACAGAGTACTGAGACATTCGACGTCCTGACACCTAACTTCAACACATGTCCGTAGCGCTAACCGACAGCCTTCCAACTTGGAAGGTTCAAGGTTTTGGAAAGACCAAAGAGGGGAAGGCAAGCCCAACGAAAACGAGCAAAAGCTACAGTCCCAACGGAACAAAGAATGTCGATTGTTACTGGACGATGACGAGACCAGTATGATATTTGACAAAGCGGTCTAACTACCATTCGAAGCAGCAAAGCAGCACACCACCCAACTTGGGTGGGTCATAAATATCAAAGATAAGTAAAGAAAGGGAAGCTTTGCGAAAACGAATTGTACAAACCGAAAGCCAAACTCCTACAGTACTCCTCATGCATGACATTGTGATGGACTAGTTGACTACAAAGTTGTTTCACACGACGTACGTTTCGCCGTATGGTTCGTGACGGCTCATCAGGTGTGCAATTTTAAACTCGGATGTTGAGCCATAAATAAATGTAGAAGAGAAAAGGACATATGGATACGAGTTAAGAGTAACTCTCCATCACTGTAACATGATACTATATACAGTCAGAAAGTGCAATAACTAGGCACAAAACTGACAGAGTACTGAGACATTCGACGTCCTGACACCTAACTTCAACACATGTCCGTAGCGCTAACCGACAGCCTTCCAACTTGGAAGGTTCAAGGTTTTGGAAAGACCAAAGAGGGGAAGGCAAGCGCAACGAAAACGAGCAAAAGCTACAGTCCCAACGGAACAAAGAATGTCGATTGTTACTGGACGATGACGAGACCAGTATGATATTTGACAAAGCGGTCTAACTACAATTCGAAGCAGCAAAGCAGCACACCACCCAACTTGGGTGGGTCATAAATATCAAAGATAAGTAAAGAAAGGGAAGCTTTGCGAAAACGAATTGTACAAGCCGAAAGCCAAACTCCTACAGTACTCCTCATGCATGACATTGTGATGGACTAGTTGACTACAAAACAAGTTGTTTCACACGACGTACGTTTCGCCGTATGGTTCGTGACGGCTCATCAGGTATGCAATTTTAAACTCGGATGTTGAGCCATAAATAAATGTAGAAGAGAAAAGGACATATGGATACGAGTTAAGAGTAACTCTCCATCACTGTAACATGATACTATATACAGTCAGAAAGTGCAATAACTAGGCACAAAACTGACAGAGTACTGAGACATTCGACGTCCTGACACCTAACTTCAACACATGTCCGTAGCGCTAACCGACAGCCTTCCAACTTGGAAGGTTCAAGGTTTTGGAAAGACCAAAGAGGGGAAGGCAAGCGCAACGAAAACGAGCAAAAGCTACAGTCCCAACGGAACAAAGAATGTCGATTGTTACTGGACGATGACGAGACCAGTATGATATTTGACAAAGTGGTCTAACTACAATTCGAAGCAGCAAAGCAGCACACCACCCAACTCGTCCAGTAACAATCGACATTCTTTGTTCCGTTGGGACTGTAGCTTTTGCTCGTTTTCGTTGCGCTTGCCTTCCCCTCTTTGGTCTTTCCAAAAACCTTGAACCTTCCAATTTGGAAGGCTGTCGGTTAGCGCTACGGACATGTGTTGAAGTTAGGTGTCAGGACGTCGAATGTCTCAGTACTCTGTCAGTTTTGTGCCTAGTTATTGCACTTTCTGACTGTATATAGTATCATGTTACAGTGATGGAGAGTTACTCTTAACTCGTATCCATATTTCCTTTTCTCTTCTACATTTATTTATGGCTCAACATCCGAGTTTAAAATAATAATAATAATAATAATTGAATTGTTTGCAGGCAACCTGCCTACACTCAAGAGAGCACTGCATTTCACACAAATCCATTGGTATCGTTACAACGTTTCGGTCTTTATGACCATCATCAGGAATGAAGTGGACATGGAAAGAACAGCAGTATAAAAGAAGGAGGCAAGCAAGCAAAGCGCGGTACATAGTGACAGCGCGCGTAGAGAAGTGCAAAGCACGTCATGGCGGGTGTGCATTACTACATATACATGACAACACAAGCACAAACGGCGAGGAAAGTAGATACTGCGCTACAGCAGTGATAACAGCCCAGTTCCAGTCTCACACCACCAGTGAGGTGTCTAGAGCCCCGCGCCACTCGCAGTAAGGTGGTGTTATAGCAGATCCCAGCCACTGTTATTGTTAATTTCCGGGGATCGCTCCCTGATATTGATGGCCTCCCGGATCCTCCTCCTGGGGCGGTCACGCTCAGAACCGAGAACCCGGATACCTGAGAAAGCCGTTGCTCCCAATGGCAATGGGTCAGATGCATGCTTGGCCGCGAAATGCTCACCCAGCGCGGTGCCGCTCACTGTGTTGCGTGCGTCGTCGTTGTGTTCTTTTGTCCTAGTAGCGAGGCTGCGGTACGTCTCTCCGACATATTTATCACCACATTTGCACTCGAGGTGGTATACAACATTTCGCTCCGTGCATGCCCCTGAACCGGACATGCAGGCGACACAAGCAGCTTTGGGCCGCCCCCGTTTACGGGGCCTGGACGGGTCTACATACCTGCGGCATGGTGGTTTGCGGAGGGCAGACGTGCAAATCATAGAACTTAGACGGCGGTTCCTGTAAATCAGCTGGGCATTTATCTTGTACTTCCGGAGTAATTTATGAATTTTGTTGTGGATATACTCGGTGTGAAACGGTAGGTTGAGGGTGACACGGTATTCATTCTGCACTCTGACACGTCGGGGGCGCATAGCTCGTTCACGTGCCGAAACTATAACTGACTCTGGGAAGTTGTTGAATTTTAGGATGTTGGTTACTTTTTCTTCACTTCTTTTTAGGGTGTCGGCATCGGAGGATAGGCGGACGGCACGCAGGAACTCAGAGGAAGCAATTGCTTTCTTTTGCTGGTTGGGAACTGACGAGTTGTAGTCTGATACCAGTCCGCTGTGACATGGCTTGCGGTATAGTTCATAGGATATAGATCCATCTGGTGAGACATGGACGGTCGTGTCCATGAAATTGATTGAGCCAGTCAACTCCGTGGATTGGTGAGTGAATTTAATATTAGGATCGGCATTATTGAAGTGATCTAGGAAACTCTGCAGAAGTTCCGGACCGAGGTTCCACACAATGAAAACATCATCGATGTAGCGCTTGTACAGAACTGGGCTGGCAGGTGCACTACGCAAGAGCGAACTCTCTAGGTCATGCATGTACAGGATGGCAAAGGGGGGCGCTAGGTTATTGCCCATAGCCACACCATCCTTCTGGTGGTACACCTGCGCTCCAAACCGGAAGTAGTTGGAGCTCAGCACATGTGCGAGGAGCTCCTTGACCTGCCCAATTCGGAAACCGAACAGATCGATGCTGCCCTCGTGTTGTCGGAGGACTCTCATGACTGCTGCAATGCCATCGTTAATCGGGATGCTAGGGTAAAGGGCCACCACATCCATAGTCACAATGATGGTGCCGGGCGGGGCCTTGAGGTTGGGAAACGCGCTCCTCATACACTGGAGTGC